TGAAATTAAGACATTAATCAAAGTTGGTTGAGATGGTAAATGTATGACCTTTGTATTTTGGAGGTTACGAGATTGCTCAAAGCATAATTTATTTTGTTAAATGAAGTAGCAAGCTAAAAGTGACACTTTTCCTTTGAAATGAACGTCTTTTAATATATGAAAAAATACAAAGACAAGTGGAGAGAGTTTAATACTATACGTATTAGTTAATTTTTTTGGTCCTTAGATTTTGATCATGATTATTAGAAAGAATAAGTAAAATATTCATAATTAGGCCATATTTTCTTCATTCGATTCTTATAATATTTAATGAAAAAATAAGTTTTATTCGAATTAACTAGTTTATCTTATTTTAATTTATTTAAGCTTATGAGAATTAGAATAAGTGAAAATAAAGTGAATATAATAGGATCTAAAATAAAAACTTCAAAGAACAAATATAATAAAAAATTGGTAAAAATTATTTTTAATCTATAAAAAATAATCTAAAATTCAATAAAAATATTACCACATAAAATTATTCATTTAGCTGAAATAAGTTGAAAAGAATAGATTATTACATGTGTCATCTCTTTATCACTATATGATATAGTGCCATGCACACAGTAACCTTAAGTTGAATAATCTATATCTATCTATCTTTATATTCAATATAAAAGCCAAGGCCAAGGATATGGAGGGAGTGTGAAAAGTTGGTGTCCAACTTTTGAACTGTCTAAATTGCTCATAAAATTTAAAATAATAATAATAATAGACATGTTGGACAAGATATAGCTATGGAGCGAGGTAGTTGTTAGCCGCATGTATAGTTGTTAGTCTAAGTAGCAGTTCGCTGTGAAAATAGATAATTAGTTGACTAGCTATTAGTTGTGAAATTCTAAAAATATAGAAGAAAAACTCCAACAGTTAGTTACCTAGCTTTTCACAAAAGCTAATAATATTAACTATTCAAAATGCTACTCCAACCACTAAACACAACTCCCATCATTACATTGCCTAACACTAATATTTTTTTACTTAATAATGGTTTGAATAAGTTTAACCACTAAAAGCTACTCAAATGCCAATACCGAACACGCCAAATGCATATCCTTTATAGTAATGTTAGTTTCCTAAATTTAACCACAATTTAGAATCTTCCAAAGGTATAAAAAAGGCCTTAAAGGGAAACTCAACATATTAAGTTATTAATAACATCAAATCAAATAATATACTACTAATATTACACATGTACAGAATTATACCCTTTATACAATCAAGAATTTTCATAAAATATGAAAGAAGACCTCAAAAAAATTAGATTATAAATAATTGAGAAGCTTTTTAAACTTCAAAATCAAGTTTGAAAGGCATTATACAAGATTTTGAAAGGCATTAAACAAGATGTTGGAGTTGTAAAAGCAATTATACATGTGAAATATCAAAATCATAGTACAAATTTGCGGAAAACAGGCATCGCCGTGTATATAGTGTTAATACTTGCATATACTTATGTATTAAAAAGTGTTTCTAAAAATGTAAAAATGTCGATGTGTCACATGTACCCCCCCATTCCACAATCTTTGTTTCATGTATAGTTAACTAAAAATGTCATCGAAGAGATTGGAATATATACTAGATAGAGCTCATTGAATGAAGACCACACTTATTAGTTATTACTTTTTTAATTAGTTACTACATAAATATATATTAAATTGTGTAGAGAAAAAAAAAAAAAAAAAAGTAATCCAAAATAATTTATTGTTATTCTTGTATTATTATTATACTGACAATTAAAAAAAAAAAATTAAAATAAAAATTAACACAAGTCTTTCAAGCTCTTTAAGTAAGTTTTTTTGTTTAAATAAAAAAATACTCAAAGTAACGTCCAAAAGGAGTCTTCTTTGCTTCTCTACCACCAAGCTATAAATATCACTTCTATTCTCTATCTTTAAAATGTTCAAGTAAACTCTTATAAATAGTGCATAAACATTTATATTTGTTTTGATTATTGCTCTTATATGCCCTCATTGATTTTAATTGCCTTTTTTTAACTACTATGAATAACGTGTGGACATTTATACCCCTAAAGACATTTGTTTACATATTTGGTCTCATTAATGCTAATGTTAAAGGTCAAAAACTAAATGAAATTGTTATATACGTATGTCCATGATGAAATGTCCTATATATATATTTTGTTGAGAGCCAATTTGAAAATATTTACCTATGTAGGATATTCTGTTCCAAAAGGATTTGATGTGAACTACAACAATGGACTAGCTGGGAATTCATCAATAGGTCATGATCAACACATGTTATCAAGGTTAGGCTCTCAATTGAGCTTCACAAGAAAAGATCATCATTCTCTCTCTCAAATTTCAGAGGTGAATGAGAGTGTTCTCGAAGGCATGAGCTCCCATGGCCATGATGATCATGAACGTAAGAGATCAGTTCCTTCACAGTCTCGGTCACCCTCTGGATTTTCATTGACTGCTTGGGATGACAGCAATGAAAACAACTTTGTTATTTCGACATCATCAAACAAACGAGGAAAGACTATCAATGATGATATCCTTAATGGTTTAGGTGCCATTGATTCTCAGGTAACTGCTTTTTTCTAGTAGGTTTATTAAGAGTATTAGAGCAAGATGTATACACTTTACATTCATGCATTAGTCTGTTGAGTTTCTTAGATATGTGTTGTGCACGAACATGTATGTATGTGTTGTCAAACATTAGAGAAGATGAAATAAAATTGAATGTTGTCATAACTCATAAGACTTGTATATGTTCACAATTGTTTTTATTTCCATTTTTATAGCAAGCAATGGCGTTAGAGATGGCAACAATGGAGAGGCTGATGCGAGTACCTGAGAATTCGGTCCCTTGTAAAATTCGTGCTAAGCGTGGATTTGCAACTCACCCTAGAAGCATTGCTGAAAGGGTCAGTACAAATATATATGCTTCATTTCATTTCTAGTTGAATGTTAATTACTTCAGCATACTAAAGTTGAGATGAAATAAATTTGGCAATAAATTCATCTATGAAGTACAATTTTAGTAATTGATGATCTTATGACTGTTGATGATGGTGAAACATTACTCTCAAACTTCAATCTAAACAGAAACTATAAATTTACATTACTTAGAATGTAATCACCTTCAATTCGACTGATTCTTTAATACTCCGTATGCTTTCATGCTTTTCGTAATTTCGTGTATGGAATTGTTAGATTTTATCTTTACTTACATTCTTGTTATAATGTTCATGCTGCAGGAAAGAAGAACTAGGATAAGTGGGAAATTAAAGAAGTTACAAGAGCTTGTTCCCAATATGGACAAGGTGAATTTTCTATTTCAAGCTTCAACTCGTTTCATTTGATTTTGCGATTTTGAAAAAATATCATTTGTTTTTCTATTGAGAGTATGATTCTATAAGGGTTTTATTCTATATTTAAGTAATTACGAATTTACGATACTGTAGTAATTACAAGGTGAATAGGTAGGTTACCGTGATTAATTTATGATACCGTAGTAATACATTGTTCATGATAAGGAAATAATCTAGTTTTATGTAGTAAAGAAATTACAGGGTGAATAGCTAGATTACCTTTGCGTTTCATTATTTTTCTATTATAATAATAAAAAAATGATCTTATATTTACCCCTTTTCATTGACTTCATTGACATTGGTGACCAAGCTGCCAAAAGTACAATATATTTAAAGCTTAACAACTACTCAACTAGTCCATTCTTTAGAAAGACTGAATTACTATCTCTCCTTCTATTTTAAAAACTCTAAAAACAACTCATTTTATGTGGAATTGTGGAGTATTTGTTATGGAGTTTAGCTAAAATACAATAATTTATTGTCTACTACATTATTAGCTCTACTACTATAATTTTTACATCTCTACCATACCAATCTCAAACTCATTGAAGGGTATCAACCCCATGTTTCACTTTGGCTTGGACAAAATACGAAGAATTTCTTAGTTTTTGCGGTGATCAAGGGTAAAATACATGGGAATTAGAATTGCTACTTGGAATTTAAACTAACAAATACATGACTACGTGAGTACGCGGTATATTGTACTGGGACAAACTAAAATAATATGTAAAAAGTAATAATTTGGGTTGGGATATCTGCTATAACGATTTTTCCATTTGTTCTGTGCTGTCTGTTTGCAGCAAACAAGCTATTCAGACATGCTAGACTTAGCAGTGCAGCACATCAAAGGACTTCAAGGCCAGATTGAGGTAAACTCTCTAGATCACACGCATATATATATATATATATATATATATATATATATATATATATATATATATATATATATGTTGAACAAGGGACAACTGTCTTTTCCGAAACACTTCTTAGTTCAGTTATACTTTCTTGAATAGCCAGTTTTTCCATGGTCTAAACTCAAGCATTTGTTTTGGTTTTAGAAACTGAATGAAGACCTAGATCATTGCACATGTGGATGCAAGCCAAATAATTAAGATGCAGTCCTAACTCTGGAATGAAGTCTCGACTCTCAACAGGTTATGGCCGCCTCAATGGAAGCTTGGTTATCGAAGAATGATCGATTGCCAAAACTGAACCAGTGGATTTTTGTTTGTACATAAACATGTAATTTTTCCTTACTAACTAATTAATTGGGGAGGTTTAAGAGAGCTAAATAGATGATCCCTCCCTCTTTTCATTTGGTAGTTTTATGCTGTTCAATTTTTGTAAGCATTGTTCATGCAATTTTACTTTTGTTAATTGAACTAGCTTATCTAAATTCAAAGCATTTAGCAAGACTGCAAGAGTGTGCAACAGTAAAAGGCACGGCCTAAGCTGGTTTATAGTGTGATTTTACGGCTTTTTATGTAGTGGTTAATCTTAGCAAAACATTCCTAAATTTGAAACTAGAATTCCATATCGAAGCAATCTGGTTTCTCTAATATGGGTAAAATAAATACTGCACATACACTGTATTTAGTATAACTTGCAGTATGATTTATTTGTGTTATGAGATAAGAGATGCAGCTACCATAGTATTATTTCCAGCTAAATGGTCATGACTCTTGTTTAACTCTAGTAGGTGCACATTCTAATTAACTTGCTAGTTACATGTTTTGGTGAAACGAAAGGATGGTTGCACAATAATTTATTGTGTATTTGTATTGTTCAGCAAGAAAATTACATTATATCTCTCCTGGCTTCCACGAACAAAACTTATAAATTACTCTTGTTCTCAATGCAGTAAAGTTAAGCACCAAAAAAGAAATAAATGATAGACTTAACTCCTAATAAACAGCTATGCTAATTTATTCTACTAAAGATGCTTAAGAAAGAATTTTACCAAGTCTACTTCAACTGCTATCTTGACATTGGCGCTTTACCCTGGAGCGCAGCTGATCTTTCGAGGACAGGGGAACCTGTATTGCTGTAATCTTTGATGGCTTTTCTTTAGGAGGCTGTGCTAGGCCATCAAAATTTCCTTGTCTCTCCTTATTGTCCAGGTAGTGTTGATCTTCTGACCGATGATCAGGCTGATTATCTGAGGGGTTAGTCAGTGCACTTGCATCAAGAAGCTGACCTTCGTCCTCCAAGTTAACATCTATGGGTGACAATGCTTGTCCTGTTTCAGCTGTCTCATGAAATTCACTTAGTAGTTTCTCAGTTTTGGCATCGAGACAATCACCCACTTCCTTTTCTTTATCTGATAGCTCTTCCTCCAGCTTATGAGGCAGATTTAATGAATCTGCTAAATCTTGTACCATTGGTCTTCCTTGGCCATCCTTATTAAGCTGGCTGTTTTCTTGAAGATGCAAATTTATTGAAGCTGCCGGATCGTTATTGGTTCCTTCTTTTTGTTTTCGTGGCCTTCCACGACCATTCTTTTTGCGCATTCCAACTTGCAGCAGAGAAATCTGGTGTTGTTCTGGTGCAGAGGACCCGGCCTTTTGCTGAAGAGGCAAATTTGATGAATCTGCACCAACTTCCTTGGTTGTTTCTATTTGTTTCCTTGGCCTTCCTCGGCCACCATTTTTCAGTTGTTTAGTTTGTTGTTGAGATTGCTGATTAGTTGCTATTTCAGACAACCCTTCTTGTTTATGGATATGCAAATTTGAAGAACCTGCTGCATCTTCATTGGTTCCTTCTATCTGAAGTGATCTTCCTGAGCCATCCGTTTCTATAAGTTTATTTTTCTGCAAAGAATTCGGAATCTTGAATTCACATGACCCTTCTTGTGAGTTGAGAAACAAGTTTAAAGAATCCAGTTTGTCTTCCTTGGTTGGTTCTGTTTGCTTTCGTGGCCTTCCCTGGCCTTTCTTCTTCTGGTTGATTTGCAGCTGAGAACGCTGATCAGTTGCTATCTCAGAGAACCCTTCTTGTTGCCAAAGAAGTGAGTTCGACACAGCTATTGCATCTTCTTTAGTTGACTCCAATTGTTTCCTTGGCCTTCCTTGGCCACCTTTCTTCATCCGTTTGCTTTGCTGCTGAGGTTGTAAATTAAATGAATCAACCACTCCGTTGTCTCCTTTTTCTTTCTTAGGCCTCCCTCGGACATCTCTTTTCTGCTGCTCCTTTTGCTGCTCCAGTTCTACGGAAGGTTTTTCCTGCTGCTGAAGATGCTCATTTGATGAGGTTATTTTATCTTCCTTGCTAATTTCTAATTGTTTTTGTGGTCTTCCTTGGAACTCCCTCATCAACTGATTCATGTCCTGCTCACAGTTATCAAAGATTGTGGGGATATTTTCTTCTTCAAATGTGGCCACAGGTGATTCTAGATCCTGAAGTTGGACATTATTTTCATTTTGTCCTTGACCTTCTATTCCATGCTCGGGATTCTGCAAGGATTGGTCTGATAAAGGTGACTTGCTGATTGGCTGGTCTTGGTGTTTCTTTTGCTCACTTTGTAGATTGTCTGATGTCGTATGTCCAGCTGCAAGTATTCCTGATGGCTCAACCTCTAGATGAACTGTTTGCCTATCAGTTTCCTCCTGACTTTTGATATTAAATTGGCAAAGCATGGAGGTTGTCTCTTCTACAGTCAGATTGGTAACTGGTTCAGATGAAGCATCTTTCCCTAAAGGAGTATTTGCTGTCAGATTTGGCACTTCATGCTCTTCATGTCTTTTGATCTTGTCAAATTGGCGAAGCATGGAGGCCTCTTCTTCGAAAATCATATTAGTTTCTGGTTCAGAAGATATCTCTGTCAGTAAAGGAGACTTTTCTGTTGGTTTTTGCACTGCATCCTTTTTTCGCTTGCCGCACTTCTTTAACACTGTTCGAAGAGGCAAATCTTCGTCATCTTCCACTAGCATAAGCTCTTCAAGGCCATTTGGGTGCAAAGGGTCCAAATTCTTCTGTTTCTCCAACTGTTCAATGGGAACATCTAAGAGCATAGATGATGATGTACAGGCTTCTTCACTTTCCTTGAACTTTTCAGAATCCATCAGTGTTGCAAAATGCTAGAAAATAAGCATCACAAATTAGAAAAGGAAAAGGAAACATTCAGACGTATAAATATACATCTGTTTATATTTTTTTTTTTATTTGGGATGTGGCAAAACATGTTCTCCGCTTTGTATATGGTCTGTATATCAGACTTGACATTCGATCCTTCAATATTTCTTAACATACATACCGATTCTTTCCTTTACTAGACTATCATAATGTGTTTGGATGTAGATTGTATATAACATTCCTGCATGCTTGAATTCATTCCAAAGACAACTTTTTGAGCATCTACAAATGAGCACCGCACACTTACAGCATGCCAAAACCCATAGTGTGCAATAAACTTTCAGAAGTTGTTAATCAACACCTAATTTTATTATCAACTAAAGTCCTCTCAAATGAGCTAGACCTCAACAAAATGTTTTACATGAGAGAAATTCTAGCATGAAACATAAAAAATGCAGAGCCATTTCTCATTAGAAATCACTTATAATCTCTAAATTAATTACGTAAGTCACCCTTATATGTTTTGAAAAGTAAATCATGTTTATAACACCCAGTGTCACTCATGACCCATCTCAGAATTATTGTCAACCTGAACATGACCATCCCATAAAGATTTTATAACCCTCATTCAAGCTCTCACCTCATTTACCATCTGTACAACCCTTCTTTTGGCAATGATATGAGCCAAGTTCTATGTATTACTTTGACAATTACGAAACGAGAATCCCCCTAAGGCAAATTTTAATATTCAATTATTAAAAGTCCATGTTCTAAAAGATATTTATAACATAGCCAACAAAAAAATAAATAAAATAATATAAAAACTAGGTTAGCATGATAATGCTTACCTAATCAAGTGGGTATTTAAAGCTTTAAGAGTTTAGAGTTATACTTAAGAAGCTAGGAAACACGCCGAATTTTGCACATACCTTGCAACCAAGAGAACAAAATCTGGAGGAATCAAGTAGGCTGCGGCAACAAATTTCACAGGTGTGGAAACCCTTGCCTGCAGCTGTCTGAGGGCGGGCATTGAGGAACACAATCTTTGCACTGTTAATAACGTATGTTTGAATGCCTGATATGTCTAGGTGGCTTTGTATCTCATTCACTCTCACCACGTTGTGGTATGATGATCTTCTTACCTGCATTACCCACCTTATCACCATTACTAGCCATTTAGAGTGATCTAAAATAGAAATATTCTGATCATTTAAGACGAGGGAATCAGATTAGAAGTTAAGCATGTTAGTCGACACCAGATTATCAATTAACAGTAAAGGATATGATACGAGTATTAATGATTTAGGTACCTGAATGATACGATGATCCTGATTGTGGAAGTACAAACAATTGAGACAAAAGGCATCTCCCATGCAATCTAAACAGAACATGTTGCATTCACTCCTCTTTGAATATGCATGCAGTGAGCAAGTGACGAAGTACTGCCCCTTCAACATAGGCATCATCCATGGTGGCCCCGTTTCACTCTCCATCCCACTTGCCTACATTATCAACACCGGGATAAAAATTATATATAACAAAGGTATTTTCCCAAAAAAAAAAAAAAAAAAAAAAAAAAGAAGTAAAAAAGGTAAGCAATTGGAAACCAAACTATGAGTCAGTATTGTGACTTGTGAGCCGAGAATCTAGATCAAATCCAGTCATGCAGGTGAATGTATGAAATGCACAAACACAAAACACAACCATATTACTTATTACTGGCATTTCTTGATTGAAGTTTTTTTTATTTTTTTTTGTCCTAATAAAACTGATGAATCTACTATTTCTTCCTTTTCCAGGCCTTGAAGTCGTTGATTTATCAAGTATTTACAGAATTACAGCCATAACCACCAACTTAAGTTAATTTTAAATTTTAATCAATCTAATACAACTAATACAAGAGAAATGACACTAATATATAAAGTAAAGGACTAATCAAATAAGATTTTAGCTAATTCCAAACTTCAGAACTGTACCTTGGTCTCAAGACCTCTGTGAGACAAAAGCTCACGTTCTGGGTCATGGTCAAGCAGATTTCGACCCACAAGTAAAGCTGGGTGAGCTGGCATTGATTCCATATAGACTTTTATTTTTTGTTGGCTAGCTTTCAATTTTCTTTTCAGGGGATGCTGTTTAGAGAAAGCTGGGAGAGATGGATTTGATTCCAAAGAGGCTTCTGTTTTATCTTGGCTAGCTTTCGATTTCCTTTTTGGCTGATGCTTCTTTTCTTTCGGTGATGCTTCCTGTGCCAAACCACAGACAATCATAGGATTCATTCTTTCTGGTGACATGAGAGCATCACCCTCATAAGGAACTATCACAAGTTCGCTTTCCTTACAACCCAACTCTCTTACAGCAAGCTCAGCAGCATCACCACGAACATTTGATACTGCAGAAGTAAATAAGGTCAAGGATGACTTCTGCACACACTCATCAGGCTCAAGCATCAGTTCAGCAGCACTGGTAGCAGTATCATCATGCATATCCATCATTGTCAGACTACTGCTGATATTTCCCATATTCTGCTGTCCTACAACAGCTGCAGCTCCTGCAACTTCATCATCTTCTTCAACAACAAATGAACTCCGCCTCCTAGGATTCACCCTATTCCTCCCAAACAACACACCATCCTCTTCAAGTCCAATCAGATTATTACTCACTTCAACAACTTCTTCTCCACCTGCATTTCCCTCCTCACCCTTTATCACAAACTCATTTCTTTCCCTAGGCAAATTTTGATTAATCAGTTGTCTCCTCGAATTATGATCTTTGAATAAGGCCGCTGCTGGTGTAGTGTAACACTTACTAGTAGAAGAAGTATAACACACAATTTCACCATTCTTACAAAGTTTATTCAAATGATGGCTTAAATATGCACTATGTGCCCATGGTAAACCATCATAATTTGCCTTAATATATTTCGAAATTGACTCCTCATTTGATCCCTCTTTCTCATTCAACCCCTTAATTGCATTTTGTATCATCTACATAAAAACAATATGAAAACCTTGTTATAAGTTGTAACATCTAAAAGTATTATATTCCGTCCCTTTATTAGATTCTTACTTCTAACATTTATTCCTCACATAATTGAGAGAACTAGGAATCTAATTAAAGGGGGGGAGGGATTACTTTATTTATTTATTTATCTATACTTATTTTATATATTAAAAAGCGTTCCTAAAGTCGTTTATGTGCCACACAGGACCTCAAGAAAACAAGATCTACTTATTTACCATCTTATGATCTTATCCAATAACAATTGATGTCATCTGTGCATATAAATATAACTATAAATCGCATGCATCAATTAAAAAGGAAATACGAGATAAGCAGTTTGAAAAAAAAAATGAATAAAATCAACATTTTACAAACAATAGAGTGTTAAAAATTATCTCTCTATACTCTTTATCAATTAATACCATTATTTTTAACATTTATGCATAATATACATAATCGATGATAATATACTACCTCCGATCCAAATCACTCGCAACTTTAGGGTATTATTTGTGAGATATAAAATATTCCAAAGTTGCGAGTAATTTGGACCGGAGGTAGTATTTCATTATTGTCAAAAAAAATAATATATTTTATAAAATAACAATTTAATCAAAGTGGTAACCCGGTGCAACGCCCGGGCCGCACACTGGTTTATTATTAAAACGCAACATCCTGCCACATGTCACCCTTTATTGCGAAGAAAATTTTATTTATTTACTACTTCCTCCGTCCCCAAAAGAACGACTCATTTGGGTTGATTTTGCGGGTATTAAGAAACTTAATTTGCAAGTACAAAGGTATGGGAAAACACAAGTCAGTAATAATTTGCAATTAATATCTAGAGAGAGAAAGTTCTAGATGTAAGTTTTTATCTTTATCCTATGCCTAATAAACATAATGTAATAATGCACTAATCCATGTGATGCTTTATTAGCCAATAAAATTAAAGTATTGTTTTACAACAACCAATATAATTAAAATACACAAGATTGTCAAGCTAGTATTTTTAAAAGAAAGGGAAATGAATAGATGTTGGGAAAAACAAATAGGTTATTCTTTTTGGGAGTAAAACTAGGCCAAATGAATCGTTTTTCAGAGGGAGTGGCATTTATTTGTCTTTTGTGTTATCTATACTTCTATTACTTTCATATCGATCTTTAAATATCATTTAAATGAGTCATTTAAATATCATTCATATCGACCTTTAAATAGATTATTAGCATTACCTTGTTAACAACATCTCATCAATTATTATCTGGGGATGCCCCATTTTCTCCTAGCGAGTTACATTGCATTTTCATAAATAAAACAACAATTTCATTCAACTTTATTTAATAATATAGCCCATTATAATGAAAAAATTGTTGATTTATTCGCAAAAATGTCCGCATCAAAAACAACAAATTTCGTTTCTTGAGAAACAGGAAATTTCCCTTCTTTTTTTACGGTCATTTAAACATTCATTTGACCATGAACATCTTCAATTGTAGAATAATAAAATTAATAAATTTTAATATTTTGAAACTTTTCATGGAGATGAAGCCAATAAAGTATCAAATGACTTTTTTTTTAACCTTATTTTATTATGTATTCATGAAAATCAACGGTAAAAAATTTTAAACTTAAACTTTCAAAAGAGAACTGCAATTATTAGTGAATGGAAGTAATTTATTTCTTCTAAAACCATTAAATCCTAAATAATTTACCATGAAAATGTTCAAAGTATAAAATGAATAAAAATTCAGAAAATCCAGGTTACAAAAAACCCAGAAAAAACAATTAATTTTTTTTTAAAAAAAAAAAATTACAGAAAATCCAAGTTACAAAAAAAAAAAAACCAGAAAAAACATAAGAAAATATATAAAATAAATAAAAAGAACTTACAGAAGCATATGTGGGGTGAGTAGGAGTGTGAAGAACAGGGAAAGCAAGTAAAAGTTGTTGAATGAGGGCAATTTGGGAAGGAGATAAAGAGGGTGTATTTGGATTAGAATTAGCTATTTTAAAGATTGTTTCTTTCAATTTTTCCATTGATTTTCTTCAGGAGATAGAATTGAGAATCCTACAATTTTAATAATTTTGAAGGTGATTGATTATAAAATTACATACATTCTGAGAAAAAGAGGAAAACACAGAATGAATGATCAGTTGGAGGAAGAGCGAGAGTGGCGCTGTTAAGTGTTTGATGTGAGAGAAACCAGGGTGAAGTATTTTTTTTTTACTCCGTATATAACAATGTGATAGTTACCAACTTCCCACGTACTGAGTCAATCAGGTTTTATTACCAGTAAAAAAAGGGACTTGTTAAACATCGCCCGCGTTTTTCTACATAAAGCCCACAATTTATAAAATTTTGACAACTTTGCCCTTGTTCTAATTTTAACCTAAAACGAAATTTTGTCTCACCCAAAATGTGGAACAGCGCCGGATCGCCGAGGGACACCAAAGAGCCGCCGTCGTAGCCGGAAAACGAGGTCTGAAGTGGTTAAAAATCAAGTTTTGGCGGCGAACGTCTGGCCGGGACGCCGCCACCGTGGATGGGGCGCCTGGCCAGGACGCCATCACCGTGGCTGGGGCGCCTGGCCAGGACGCCGCCACCATGGTAGTGGCGTCCTGGCCAGGCGCCCCAGCCACGGTGGTGGCGTCCTGGCCAGGCGCCACCTCCTCGGTATATTTTTTTTAAAATCTTTTTTTTCGTTTTGGTTTTTTTTATTTTTATTTTGTTTGAATTTTGATAAATTTGAATTTTTTTTAAAAAAAAAACAAAAAAAAATATTAATTTAGTAAAAGTTTTTAGTAAAAAAAAACAAAAAAAATATTAATTTAGTAAAAATATTTTCAAATATTAATTTGAAAATATGCTTTAGTAAATTCAAAAAATAAACAAAATTAGATTTAGTAAAAGTTTGATTTAGTTTTTACTCTATTTCAAATTTGATTTACTCTATCTATATATTTTATAAGTAAAAGTTTGATTTAGTTTTTACTCTATTTCAAGTTTGATTTACTCTATCTATATATTTTATAAGTAAAAGTTTGATTTAGTTTTTACTCTATTTCAAATTTACAATTTTTTTTTCTACTTTAAGTTTTGAGACGAAACTTGTTTTAAGGAGGGTAGATTGTAATACCCTAAAATTTTCTACTTTAAGATTCAGGACGAAACTTGTTTTAAGGAGGGTAGATTCTAATACCCTAAAATTTTCTATTTTAAGTTTTGGGGACAAAACTTGTTTTAAGGAGGGTACATTGTAATACCCGAATTGTTTTGGGTGTTTTTGTCCCTCGGGAAAGTTACAACACGAAGACTGATCCGGAGTGAGCTGTACCTGCAAAACAAACGGAGACACCGGTTGGGTGGTGCTCCGCCTCCGATGCACAAGTTAGAAACTTGAAGGGAGAAAAAAGGTGCGGAAATTTAGGTGGGGTTCTGCTCGGATTCCAAGCTCGGGATGTCTCTATCAAAGAGTAAATATGTAATAAATGGTAAAACGTGTCCTCAAAAAGAGGGACATCTCCCTATTTATAGGGTCTTTGGGATTTGTGCCCCTGATTAGGTCACTGAACCCTAATCATTGGTGGGCTGCGCCGCTTTGCGGCTTTCTCGGGATTTGGGCCTGAAGTCCGCCTTTTTTCCTTAATTTCTGGAGTGACACGTGTCAAGCAGGGATTGGTCCACTTTGGGCCATCCTGAGGCTGACACGTGTCATCCTCTGATTGGACCATGTGGCGGGGTATAATTACCCTAAACATTTGCCCCTCACAAATGTGACGTGGCGCACCACGTGGCATCTGTGACATGTGTCACGCTCCGATTGGCGGTAATTTTACCATTAAAGAGTAACCGTTCACCTTCCGGGTAAATTACGGAAATGGCCCCGTATTTACCCTCTATATATAGCCGTTTTACCCTCATAATCTGGTACGTTTACAAAAAAAAAATTTAGAGATAACTTTGAGAGAGCAGAAGTCATCCGTTTGAGTCAGGCACAAGCAAGAAAGCTCGTTTTCCATCGACCCATCCGGAACCGCTTAGTATCCAGATATTATATCAAAATGTACCGTCTCTGCCTCTCTCAGCTCTTTTTCTTTTTTCATCGTTTGTACATATTTCTTGCAATAAATGGATGCATCACCAACACACACGGCACAGCCTAGGTTAGAGTCCAGCCGGTCACCAGGGACGACTGAGTTTAGGACTGGGAGTGTCGTCTCGGGGTGTTGGGACCACCCTTTGCCTTGGATTCCGACCAGTTATGTGTCTTTGCAGGACACAATGGCTCGGATAATGCAGACGGCGACTGATCCAAATTACAAGAGCGAAGGCTCAGGCGGCCAAACGCCTGAGGGAGAAACGTCTGGTCAGGGAGAACAGACGGCTTTGGAGAGATCCCCTCCGCGCGCCCCTTCAACCCCCGCTGACTCTTTTTTGGAAGAGTGTGACCAAGGCGGCGACGAGGCCGTCTCTGCCCCCTTGACCCAAGATGAGGAAGAGACGGAGAGCGACAGCTCCGCCTCTACCTCTGAGAGCAGTGATGATTTGCCCCCGCTTCAGGATAGCAAGGAGGAGGAAAGGAAAAAATGGAACGAGAAGGACGATCCCTTCAATATCCACGTCTCCTCCAAGGACCGGATCCAAATGGAAGAAAACTTAAAGAATTTTACTCAAATGCACCCGCTAGGAGACGGGTATAGGATCTGGTTGCTGCCTGAGAATGGCACCATCGCCTGGGAGGACGATCAAGAGAACGCCAACAGCTATTTCGGCTGTTATGAGGCGGCGTTCAAGGCTGGCCTTCGCTTCCCCCTTCACCAGGCGGTGAAGACAATTTTAAGAGGCTACGACCTCAGAGTTTGGCAACTTACCCGCAACTCTTGGACAAACATTTTGGGGTATGTTGCCGCCTGCGAGTTTCAGGGGCTTAACCCCAGTTGGGAGGCTTTTGCTAGTATGCATTATCTTAGCAGAAGCCCAGGCGGCTGGAGGGCGTGGTACACTCTAACCACGCATCCCCAATATATGATGACCTTGGAAAAGGTCTCGAAATTCGACGGTTGGAAGCACATGTTCTACCTGATGTCAGCTCCAACCAGACGGGAGAATTATGAATTCCGTCTGTATAATAAGAAGCCCGATTTGTTGGGCCGGAAGTGCGCTCTTCCCCGGATCCCAGAGAAAGACTTTGACAAGATCATTGAGGCAGACTTTTTCGGCCTCACAGACGCGACCTTGTCAACCGGGGAAACAATAAAAGTTCCTAAGAACTGGATCCCCAAGAGCGCCTGGTTCAGGGATGAGTGTTTCCTAGCCGCCTGACCCTTTCTTAAATTTAAGAAAGGGGCTAGGGCACATGTTTACCAGACGTATGCACCTGAGTTTATATCCGTCTGTAGTATTTTTCTATAGAAATTGATTTATGTTATTGACCAGTTTCCTTCTTTTTGCAGAGGAAGCATTAAACATGTTGCAGACGGAGAAAACTCCCAAGCGGTCCTCTGCACTCATCCGCAAGCAGCTTGCGGAAAAAGCTGCGGAGGTCAAAGCCCTCAAACGGGCTAACTTTGACTTGGTTATTTCGCAGGGGGGAGAGGTTGGAAAGACGTTTGAGAAACAACTCAAACGGGCTAGGGAGGAGACCCCCTCCGTTCTCAACAAAATAAAAAAATCCACCTCCGCGTCAACTCCTGGCGCCTCAGCCGGGCATAAGCAGATGCGGATAGCGGGGCGTAACGAGAAGGTAGGCGGCAGCCTGGGCCTCAGCCTCGTTAACCCCGTAACAGCGACCGGGAGGTTGTCCACGCCTGCAAGCGGTTCCTGCTTGGTTGGCTCTGAAGGTAAGAACCCTTTTGAATCCCCGCTTGAGCTGGGGTGGCCTTTGGGGTGAAATCCCACTCTCAACAGACGTCATCTTCAGACGGCCGGCAACAAATAGGTGCTGCCTTAGTTTCGCACTCATCATGTATTGATTGTGGTGCAGATCAATCTCCCCGCTGGCCAGACGTCCAGAAGCATGCCAAGGCCATGCTGGAAGCCGTCCGGGAGAGGGATAAAGACAATATCCCTAGGATAGAGACGTTCAATCTTGAACGCATTCTATCCCTTCTAGCTGAGGTAAGAAACTTGTCAATTCAATTTTATTTTTTCCAAGTGTTTTATCCCGCCTGCAATACTCACATCGCTTACTTTTTGCAGGCTATGCTGCGGGTGGACGGGCTCAAACGTCCTTATTCCCGCAAACGGGAAGAGGTAAAAAGGGCCAAGAAGTCCGCCATAGACGCTGACAATATTTCTTTACACTCAACTATCGTAAATGAACTTGAAACTAAAGCAATCATTATGACACAGGCGTCTAGAATCCAGCAGCTGGAGTCAGATCTGGAGGCGGCCAAGCAGCGGGCGACTGATGCTGAGACGGCCCGGAAGAAGGCGGAGGAGGCCTAGAAGAAGGCTGATGAGAGTGCCAAAAAGGCTGATGAGGCGCTCAAGAAGGCCCAGGCAGACCTTTGCAATCTTCAGGGTGTTTCTGAAGAGAACACTAACCTGAAGACCAAGGTTCAAAAGCTGGAGAAGGAGGCTGCCCAGGCTCAGAAGAACTTTGCAGCAACCTTGGAGGCAGAGCAAAACCACCTTGTTGCTGAGAGTGACGCTGATAATGACGCCCGAATGAAGATCGCCTGGGCTGCCTTGTACCCGGACGCGGATTATGGCGTCTGGGCACTGGCTCACAGGTACGCCGAGGACGTGGTGTACCTGAGAGAGAAGGGTGATCCAGAGCCTGAGTCCTTCGACGCCTAGGTTAATGCCAACAATGAGCCCCTCGTACCTCAGCTACCTGGTCCGGGTGAAGCGCAAAAGATACCCTCAGATGATGATGAGGAGGACCAAGAGGAGCCGCCTGTAGGCCAGAAGTGATTTTTCAGCGGCAGTATGCCAATCCCTCTTTTTTATTTTTTCTTTAGTTCTGTGGCAGTATGCCAAAACTTGTTTTTCCGGCCTGCGTGTCGAGTATATTTGTATTTACCGGCTAAGGAGCCGAGTTAATTAACAATCTCTTTCTCCCGGACGGGGTCCGGTTAACATTTTAATCCACTACAACCGTTTGGTTGGGTGGACTATATGAAATGCACCGACTGAGTCGGTTTTGATAATTTTGCATCTGAATTTTATTTTTTGCAAATTTTAATTTTTCATCTTTGCCTAACTTATCAAAAGCATGCGGCGATTTTTCATTTTTGCCTAACTAATCAATAGTCCGGCTGTCCTTGCCCCTGGACGGCTGTGTGATTGGTTTCAAGTGGAGTTGGTTGATTGACTTGTAAACGTCTGATGCTGCAAAGAGCATGATATGTTTGTAAGTCAATCAATCACAGTAGTGATTGCCCCAAACCAAGTGCACAGCCGTACA